GTGGAAGGACAAAACAGTTACTGTCATACATAGGACATGGACTCTGTCTGTTCTGGGTGCATTTTAGTTTAGAATACAGAGACCTCCGTTCAGGTCCTAAGAGTTAGATTCCCTGAGAGAAGCACACCACCATAAGATTGGTGATTTGTACTTAGAAATGGCTGCCTTTATTTTCTTTAAAGTCAATATCTTATATTTGAATAAACACTCACAGTTTGCAAAGCATCTTTACAGAACTCCCATTGGATCCTCATAGTCACCTTTTTTTTTTGAGACAGAGACTCACTCTGTCTCCCAGGCTGGAGTGTAATGGGTCGATCTTGGCTCCTCCACTTCCTGGGCTTAAGTGAACATGAGCCTCCTGCCTTAGCCACCCAAGTAGCTGGGACTACAGATGTGCACAACCACATCCAGCCAATTTTTGTATTTTTGGTAGACATGGGATTTTGCCATTTTGCCCAGGCTGGTCTCAAACACTGGAGCTCCACCTGCCTTGGCCTCCCAAAGTGCTGGGATTACAGGTATGAGCCACCATACCCTGTCCTCACAGTCACCTTTTGAAGAGCCTCCTGCTCAAGAGATCCACCTGCCTCAGCCTCTGAGTAGCTGTGACTACAGGCATGCACCACCATGCTTGGCTAATTTTTTATTTTTTGTAGAGACGGGGTCTCCCTGTATTGTCCAGGCTAGTCTCAGACTCTTGAGCTCAAACCATCCTCCCACCTCAGCCTCCCAAAGGGCTGAGATTGTAGGTGTGAGTCACTGCACCTGGCCAAGTATTAGTTTTAATCCTGCTTTAGAGATGAATAAACTTGGGCTGACTCAAACTGACTCAAAAGTCACACTGTCATTATCTTGCTATTCTTATTGGCATTTGGGACCTACATGGTTTTTGGCTTCACCTCCAGCTTTAGCCATTTTTCTCCTGTTCTTTTAGGTAAGGATTTTCTGCCCCAGACTTCAGATTCCCATTCCCTTCTTAGCTCCTCTGCTGGTATAGCTCAGGCCTCTTCTAAGACCATGCAAGATTCAGACCCTAGCAGGTGGAGATGGAGGAGCTAGGACTTAAACTCACATCTTGTGATTCAAAGGCTGGTTCCTCTTTCGCCCAGCACCACACAGCTGTCTGCTCATGGTCATATGACAGGGACTTCCCCAGCCAGAGCCTCCAGGGAGCACAAATAAAGGAAGGAGCCGGAAGGCACAGGACAGCATTTGTTCCGTCCAAGCCTCACATATCAACATGGGTAGGGAGAAGCTTTCTTTCAAGGTCTTTGATAGGGAAGGACATTTATCAGTGAAGAGAGGTTTTGAGGGGAGTGAACCAATCTTGAGATAAGTAAACAAGAGCTTTGAGTCTGGTGTTTCCCTGTTTGCTTCTGCCCCCTGGAGGAGCAAATTGATTAGAGACGTGTGAGTCCTGACAGGAAGTGTTTGGAATAGAATAGCGGTGATGGAACTGGAGTCCGAGTCCAGGTTCTCTCCTTATTCAGCCTGGATGCAATTCTGGGTATCAAAGCCTCGCTTGCACCCTCAGAGGAGATGGCTTGGGAACAATGCGGCCAGGCCTCTTCTACCACACAGACATTTTTCTTTTTTTATAAAGAATATAAACATTTAAAATTTAATGGTACTCCCAAATTGCTCCTCAAAAAGGCTGTACAAAATTACAGTCCTAATAACAGCTACCTGGAGATCTTGTGAAGGCACCTGCCCTCATCATCATCATCATTATTATTATTTTTGAAGCAGAGCCCTGCTCTGTCGCCCAGGCTGGAGTGCAATGGCGCAATCTTGGCTCACTGCAACCTCCACCTCCCAGGTTCAAGCAATTCTCCTGTCTCAGCCTCCTGAATAGCTGGGATTACAGGTATGAGCCACCGTGCCTGGCTGTCCTCATTATTTAATGGGTTATTTGCAACCTGTTAATCACATCTCCTATTTCCTTGTTAGTGATGCTTATTGATTATAGACTTAGGAATATCAATCAACACCTTCTTTGTATCTCTTTATTCTTACATGATATAATAATTCTTTATTTTTATTTTTTGAGATGGAGTCTTGCTCTGTTGCCCAGGCTGGAGTTCAGTGTCACAATCTCAGCTCCCTTCAACCTCTGCCTGCCGGATTCAAGCGATTCTCCCACCTTAGCCTCCCAAGTAGCTGGGATTACAGGCGCCTGCCACCATGCCCAGCTAATTTTTGTATTTTTAGTAGAGATGGGGTTTCATCATGTTGGCCAGACTGGTCTTGAGCTCCTAATCTCAGGTATTCTGCCCTCCTGGGCCTCCCAAAGTGCTGGGATTACAGACATGAGCCGCTGCGTCCAGCCAATAATTCATTGTTTAATCCTTATTTGTGGGCCAAACAAAGGAGAAAAGTAAGAAGCCATTTTCTTTTACTGATAGGAAAGGTCAAAGGACTAACCTAGTGAATTATTTACCTAAAAATGTATACAAATCACTCCAAAATTTAGTGGCTTAAAGCAGTACTAATTCAATTATATCTTCACAGTTACTAATTTAATTATATTCTCACCTATGGGTGAGGAATTTCGGAGCAGCTTAGTTGGGCTTTTCTGGCCCAGAGTCTAGTGAAGTTGTGACCACTTGTCAGCGGGCCATCTGAATGCTTGATTGGAATTGGAGGCTCCACTTCACATGACTGGGAAGTTGGTGCTGGCTGTTGGCGGGAAGCCTGTCGTTCATGTGGGCCTCTCTGAGGGACTGCTTGAGTACTTTCATGGTGTGGTGGTGGGCTTCCCCCAGAGTGAGCGACTCAGAAGAAAGATTGTGAGGTCTGGACTTCAATAAGACTGAAAAAAAAAGACAGACAGAGAGAGAGAGAGAGAGAAAGAAAGAACCAGGTAGAAGCTATATCATTTCTATGATCCAGCTTGACGTATTATCACTTCTGCCACAGTGTATTCATTTCAAATGAATTACCAAGTCTGGTCTACTTTCAAGGAGAGGGGAGGTACTCTATCTTTGCAAGGGAGGAGTGTCAAAGAGTTTCTGAATGTATTTTAAAACCACCATATCTGGATGTGAGGCCAACCCAGAAGCCTGGGCCAGAAAGTTCTCCTAGACCCTATGTGAGTATATAGATATGGCTCATAGGCTGAGTGAATTAAATTCAGAGCACTCAAGCCAACTTTCACAGGTCCAGTGGCTCCTTAGTCCAGTTTTTTTTTAAACTCATGATTGTGTTTCTTGTTCTTTTATCTTTCTCCTGTTTTCTTCTGAGAATCCAGAAGAGAAATTGAGTCTTCACTTACTTTTATAGTTAATTAGTGTTTGGTAAAGTTTGCTGGGCAAGAAGGTTGAAACTACTGAGTGAAGCTGTGAATCTCTGACTTATTTGTAACTATATATACTTCATATAATTCCCATTTAGCATAACTGAGAACTTGTAGTAAATAGTTATGTGGTACCTCCAGGTATTTTCCCCTGCTTGATCTCTTTCTGTGATGCACAAACTAGTATAAGATGGGGCCCCTTTATTCCTTGGTGGAAGTGATACCTACTATAATTTTTATTGTGTTGTTTGGTTTGGGGTGAACACAGAAGTAAACTTTTGGAAGATCACAGCCCAGGAGAGGAATATAGGTTGGCACTCAGTGATGAGACATCGAAACAAATACAGAGAAGTGGACTAATAGTTTGAGTGACATCCTGAATTGGGAGATGCTTGTTTAGTTTCTGGTTTTTGAATAGAGCAGTTTTTCTGCTCAGCAAATGAACTAAGAATTGGAGGCATCCCCCAGATAAGGAACAGAAATGGAATGAGTGGCTCAAACAAATATGGAATTTAAAAATTATTTTTATTTTTATATTTTTTGTAGAGATAAGGTCTCGCTATGTTGCCCAGGCAGGTCTTAAACTCCTGGCCTCAAGGGATCCTCCTGCCTCATCTCCCAAGTAGTTGACATTACAGGCATGAGCCACTGCCCCAGGCTGGATGTGGAATTTTTGAATGGGGAAGAGAAAAAAGTCTCCCTTTGCTATTAGAAAGATATAAATTAATTCAGGATGTTGTGTTTATTCCTCCAATGAAGGCAGACTGAACGGATGAATAAGAACTGGACTTGGTAGGATCTTAGGGCCATATAAACTTCTAGATGAGGGACAAAAAGATTTTAAACAAAGGAACAAGAACTAATATTTATTGAGTATCAAGAGCTTTATTTGCATTATTTAATTATCAGAGTAGTGGGTGTTATCGCTTCCATTTAAAGTAGGAGGTAGGAGGGCTGGGTGCAGTGGCTCAGGGCTGGACGTAGTAGCTTACACCTGTAATGCCAGCACTTTGAGAGGCTGAGGTGGGAGGATCGCTTGAGCCCAGGAGTTCAAGACCAGCCTGGGCAACATGGCAAAACCCACCTCTATAAAAAATACAAAAATTAACCAGGCATAGTTGTGTGCGCCTGGGGAGGTTGAGGTGGGAGGATCGCTTGAGTCCAGGAGGTCGAGGCTGCAGTGAGCCATGATTGTAGCACTGTACTCCAGCCTGGGCAACAGAATGAGACCTTGCCTCAAAAAAACAAACCAAAGAAAACCTAAAAAACAACAACAAAAAAATAAAGTTAGGGAGACCCACTTTCTTAAGGTTGTACAGCCTAAGGTGTGGTAAGGTCAGCATTAGAAGGCAGGCTTGTCTGCTATGAAGTCTGCTCTCTCCACTACCTTATACTGCTTCTCCAGGCAAAGTCAATCCAGGGTTCTAGACTAGTCTATACCTGTGGCTGGTTGTGGTGGTGGCTGGCATCAGGCAGGGACAGTGGTATAGCAGGGCTATACCTTTAGGTACCTAAGGTCATATCTTTCATGTTTCAGGTGATTTTGTTCCAACTGCCTAGGACTCAGGCCCATCTAAATATGACATAAAAGTAGAAGCTTTTCATAATGGAGATTAGACCATGACTAGGATTCCTTCCCAGTTCCTCTTGAGCCCTCCTCACTCCAGTGTTCTTTTCCATGTTTGTTTTTTGTTTTCCCCAGAGCTTCTTCGAGATACCTTCACTTCCCTGGGCTATGAAGTTCAGAAATCCTTGCATCTCACTATGGATGGTATATTAAAAGTTCTTCAACGAGTTGCCTGTATGCCCCAACACCAAGATTACGACAGCTTTGTGTGTGTCCTGGTGAGCCGAGGAGGCTCCCAGAGTGTGTATGGTGTGGATCAGACTCACTCAGGGCTCCCCCTGCATCACATCAGGAGGATGTTTATGGGAGATTTATGCCCTTATCTAGTAGGGAAGCCAAAGGTGTTTTTTATTCAGAACTATATGGTGTCAGAGGGCCAGCTGGAGGACAGCAGCCTCCTGGAGGTGGATGGGCCAGCAATGAAGAACGTGGAATCCAAGCCTCAGCAGCGAGGGCTGTGCACAGTTCACCGAGAAGCTGACTTCTTCTGGAGCCTTTGCACTGCAGATGTGTCCCTGCTGGAACAGTCCTGCAGCTCACCATCCCTGTACCTGCAGTGCCTCTCCCAGAAACTGAGACAAGAAAGGTGAGCCCCTAGGAGGTGGTCAGTCCTGGACCACCTGCTTATTTTTGTGCCACCAAGAAGGGAATTACCACTGTGCTACGTTTGCTGCCCTTCTCTTCAGGGTGGAAAAGAGATTTTCCCTCCTGCATTAGGGTTGCCCTAGGACTACAATACAGACCTGGCACAATTTATAAACACTTTGTGTTAGTTAGCTTGTAGTTTCAATACTTTGCTTCACAATTAAGAAATTTTCAGCTCAGGCAACTGAGAACTTGCTCTATAAGAAATTTAAAAATTAGCTGGGTGTGGTGGCATGCGCTTGTAGTCCCAACTGCTTGGGAGGCTAAGGTAGAAGAATAGCCTGAGCCCACGAAGCCCAGGAGTTTGAGGCTGCAGTGAGTCGGGATTGCACTGCTACACTGCAGCCTGGGCAACAGAGGGAGACCCTGTCTCCAATAAATAAATCAGTAAAGGAATAAAACAAATTTTTAGGCTCGGGGTGATGGCTCATACCTATAATCCCAGCTACTCAGGAGGCTGAGGCAGGGGAATTGCTTGAACCAGGGAGGTGGAGGTTGCAGTGAGCCAAGTTTGCACCACTGCACTTCAGCCTGGGCAACAAAGCGAGACTCCATCTCAAAAAAAAGAACAAATTTTTATGTTTAATTTATCTTATTTTTGAGATAAAGTTTCACTCTTGTTGCCCAGGCTGCAGTGCAATTGCACAATCTTGGCTCACTGCAACCTCTGCCTCCTGGGTTTCAAGTGATTCTCCTGCCTCAGCCTCCAGAGTAGCTGGGATTACAGGCGCCTGCCACCACGCCTGGCTAAATTTCTGTATTTTTAGTAGAGACAGAGTTTCACCATGTTGACCAGGCTGGCCTGGAATGCCTGGCCTCAAGTGATCCACGCATCTTGGTGTCCCAAAGTGCTGAGATTACAGGTGTGAGCCACTGTGCCCAGACTTATTTTTATTTTTATTAAAGCAATGTATAGTATTTATAGAAAAATCATAAAATATACCTAGGTGCTAAAAGTAGAATGCCATAAGTAGTTGTAAGCTTACTGAAACTAATTTCTATTAATCAAATCTTGATGTATTGCCTTCCAGATCTTTTTTTACTTGATACCCACACAATCATATAGAAGTATGTCTTTTTTGTTTGTTTTTTTTTTTTTTTTTGAGATGGAGTCTTGCTCTGTTGCCCAGGCTGGAGTGTAGCGGTGTGATCTTGACTCACTGCAACCTCTGCCTCCGGGGTTCAAGTGATTCTTCTGCCTCAGACTCCTGAGTAGCTGGGATTACAGGTGTGCGCCACCATGCCCAGCTAATTTTCTTTTTTTGTATTTTTAGTAGAGATGGGGTTTCACCATGTTGGTCAGGCTGATCTCAAACTCCTGACCTTGTGATCCGCTTGCTTCAGCTTCCCAAAGTGTTGGCATTACAGGCATCAGCCACCATGCCCAGCTAGTTTGTTTTTTTGAGATGAAGTCTTGCTCTGTTGCCCAGGCTGGAGTGCAGTGGCGCATCTTGGCTCATTGCAACTTCTATCTCCCGGGTTCAAGCAATTTTCCTGCCTCAGCCTCCCGAATAGCTGGGACTATAGGCATGCACCTCCATGCTCTCCTAATTTTTGCATTTTTAGTAGAGATAGGATTTTACCATGTTGGCCAGCCTGGTCTCAAACTCCTGACCTCAAGTGATCCTCCTGCCTTGGCCTCCCAAAATGTTGGGATTACAGGTGCGAGCCACGATGCCCGGCCCAGAAGTATGTTTGTAAGCCCAGAGGGAATCATCATCTCTTATTTCTTTTTTTTTTTGAATTAAAAATATGTTAATACAGTTCAAATCAACATGTCTAGCCCATTTCAGCTCCTTTATTGCCAAACCAGGGGACAAGGACTGCTTTAGTTTCTCTGCCTTCTCTTTTTCTGCGATGACCAAGGTATAAAGGTATTTGCTGCATCGAACTTTAAAGTTCACATTATCCCTGTTTTTCTTGATCTTGACAAATTTGACATCCTTTCACCTGGCTGTGAGCAGAAAGTCCTTGATTTCCTCAGTTTTTCAAGGCATGGAGATGAGGTACACAGGGAGAGGGCAAGGACCGGTACCCCTCTAGCCTGTGTATCACCTGGAAGACACTCACAGCCTACCACTACTTTATAACCTGCTTTTAGTTTGTTTAACAGATCACAAACATTTTTGCATGTCAGTAGTCACATTTCTACAGCATCAGTTTAATGTCTGCACAACAGCCCCATTGTAGAGCTATAGCTTAATTTACTTGATCAATCTTCAGTTGTTGGATAGTGTTTGCTTTCCTACAAAGTGAGTATTAAACATCCTTGCAGCTTAGTATTTGTTCTTATCCTTAATTGTTTTCATGGGGGACAATTCCTGGAAGTGGAATTACTGAGTCAAAGGACATGCATTTTTCAAGCCTTGGATGTATCTTACCAGATGTCCTGTAGGATGGTCATACCAGCTTTATAGGAGAGTAGCTGTGTCCCTGAATTCTCCCTGACACTGCATGCTCTTATATTTCCCTAAGTTTTGACAATTTGATAGGTGAAAAATGGTATCTGACTGTTCACGTCTGGAAGACTTCGTTATATAAACATTTTAAAAATGTTTATTGGCAAGAATACTTTTCTAAGAGCAACATCAGTGTCCCGGTATATCCATTTAAGCTGAATGAAGCCACCGTGTACCTCAAGTATAAGATTAACTGGCTTTTTTCAGTTGTGCCCTAATTACAGTTTAGAATGATGTTTCTGAGCCACCTGTCAAATGCATTCTGGTCTGTATCTCTGCGTACCCCAGGAATAAATCTCATGGCCTTTACCTGGCCTTCTTAGTAGTGGCCCAGCAGGAAGCACGGGTTAGAGCAGGAGCCACTCAGCCTTCCAAGATAGATACTCCATGGACCAGTGATATTACTGGCCTTTTGAGCCCATCTTTATTTGTATAGATGATCCACATGGGTTATCATCTGGCTGATATATTTCCAGAATGAAACTCAGCTGCCACTTGAGGGAGGAGGATGGTAGCCACCAGGCCAGAGCACTGCAAGTTAGTTTGGATCATTCGCTAAGCAGCTTGTGGTGCCTTTAGAAAGGAACAGTTTCAAAGAACTTTCACATCTGTTGGCTCATTTCACCCTAATGACAATCTGTCTTCTCTTTGATATTTGCATGGCATTAAGTTTTGCCTTTCTTGTTTCCTCCAGAAAACGCCCACTCCTGGATCTCCACATTGAACTCAATAGCCACATGTATGATTGGAACAGCAGAGTTTCTACTAAGGAGAAATACTATGTCTGGCTGCAGCACACTCTGAGGAAGAAACTTATCCTCTCTTACACATAAGAAACCAAAAGGCCATGCACAGTGGCTCATGCTTGCAATCCCAGCACTTTGGGAGGCCAAGGAGGGCAGATCACTTCAGGTCAGGAGTTCAAGATCAGCCTGGCCAACATGGCAAAACGCTGTCTCTAATAAAAATACAAAAATTAGCTGGGTGTGGTGGTAGGTACCTGTAATCCAAGTTACTTGGGAGGCTGAGGCTGGAGGATCTTTTGAACCCAGGAGTTCAGGGTCATAGCATGCTATGATTGTGCCTATGAATAACCATTGCATACCACCCTGGGCAATATAGCAAGACCCCATCTCTTAAAAAAAAAAAAAGGACAGGAACTATTTTAGTCCATGTGTTAGGTTTCTCTAGAAGAACAGAACTAATAGGATAGATGTGTATATAAAGGGGAGTTTATTAAGGAGTATTGACTCACACGATCACAAGGTTAGGTCCTACCGTAGGCCATCTGCAAGCAAGGAAGCCAATCCAAGTCCCAAAGCTGAAGAACTTGGAGTCCAATGTTTGAGGGCAGGAAGCAGTCAGCACAGGAGAAAGATGGAGGCCAGAAGACTAAGCCAGTTTAGTCTTTCTATGTTCTTCTGCCTGCTTTTATTCTGGCAGTGCTGGCAGCTGATTAGATGGTGCCTACCCAGATTGAGGATGGTCTGCCTTTCCCAGTCCACTGACTCAAACGTTAATCTTCTTTGCCAACATCCTCACAGACGCACCCAGGAACAGTACTTTGCATCCTTCTATCCAATCATGTTGATACTCAGTATTAACCATCACAGTCCATCTGGGCAATTATACCAAATTACCTTAGACCAGGTGACTTAAACAGCAGTTATTTCTCACAGTCGTGGAGGCGGGGATATACAACATCTAGGTGGTAGCAGATGTGGTATCTGGTAAGGCATGCTTCCAGGTCTTATCAGATGTTGGTCTTTTCATGTCCTCACATGGCAGAAAAAGACAGAGAAGCAGGCTCTCATGTGTATCTTCCTTTTTTTTTTGAGACAGAGTTTTGCTCTTGTTGCCCGGGCTGGAGTGCAATGGTAGATTTTGGCTCACTGCAACCTCCGCCTCCCTGGTTGAAGCGATTCTCCTGCCTCAGCCTCCCAGTGTGTATCTTCTTTAAGGGAACGAATCTCATTCATGAGGGCTCTACCCACACGACCTAATTACCTCCCAAAGGCCCCACCTTCTGATACTGTCACATTGGGGAAAATGTCTCCCTTTTGAATTTTGGGGGGACACAAACATTCAGTCTGTAATCATTTAATGGTCTTATGATTTAGAGGTTACTTGTTCTTTCACCTAGACCTCAAGTCGCATTTAACAGCTAATCGAGTATATCTTTCTCTGATTTGATAGTGTGACCTAAAAGGGGACCGTTGTTTAAAATATCATTAGAGTTGGCCTGTGCCACTGCCTGCCGCGCGCAGAGCCAGAGCCCGAGCCTGAGCCGCGCCAGGCCCCAAGTGGGGCTCCTGGGCCTCGGCGGCAGGCAGGCGATGCTCCAGCGGCCTGACCAGCCATGGATGCCGAGGCAGGCGGCCTGGAGGAGCTGACCGACGAGAAGATGGCAACGCTGGGCAAGGAAGAGCGGCGGGAGGAGGCGACGCGCCTGGCGGCACTGGTGCAGCGCGACCTCCTCGTGGAGGAGGTGAATCGGCAGCTGCAGGGCCACCTGGACGAGATCTGTCAGCTCAGGCAGCTCAGTCGGCGCCTGCTGGAGAGAATCGTGAGCTGCACGACCTCTGCTGCTTTGTGGACTGAAGCGCCAGCGCGGGCGGCGGGCGGCGCGCGGCTCACCAGTGGAAGCTCTTTGGGACCCAAGCATCCCAGACCGTGTGGGAGGACCTGGGAAGTGTGGCAGAATACCGCTGTTTAAATGATTTTTTTTTTTTTAAGTGGCAGGAACGGCCTTTATTGGCTGCAGCGTTGCTCACGATCCAAAAGCTTAAATGATCTTAAAAAATTATTTATTGGCCGGGCGCGGTGGCTCAAGCCTGTAATCCCAGCACTGTGGGAGGCTGAG